AATATATATATATATATATATATATATATATATATATATATATATATATATATATATATATATATAATCAAAATAACTTATCTCTAATACAACAGCAAACTATATATATATATATATATTTATATATCTATAATATATATATATCATATATCATATATAATATATATCTATATATATATATTGACCTTATTCTAAAATGCGGTAGTGCGCCTGTTTTCGCGATTGTCTCAGAACAGGGGTGTCAAACTCAATTTCTGGAGGGCCGAAGCCCTGCCCAGTTTAGTTCCAACCCTGCTCCAACACACTTACTTTTAGGTTTCAAACAAGCCTGAAGGACTCAATTATGGTCATTCCCTCGCTGTAAATGCTGGCGCTACTGGTTTTTTCTGCCACCTCCCTGCTCGAGCATCGGATGCATCCTGAATGTTTACAAACATGGTCATGCATCTATATATGGCCAAATACAGCTTGCAGGCCATTAAGGTCAGTTTCTTTTTTCTCTCCCTCAGTCTTACAGCGAATCAAAAGGTGATCAAGCTTTCAGTGTTACAGCCCCAAAGCTCCCTCTGAACAACAGGACATCATCAATGAATCCTTTTTAATCTAATTTTGAAGACTTGCATTCATGTTATTTTCTACCTGTATTTCAGCTTTTACATATATAATTTTTCTTATATTTTTTATTCTAATTTATATTTTATTTTATTATTGTTGTAAAGCACTTTGAATCAACTATATGGTTGTGTAAAATTGTGCTTTATAAATAAGGTGTGCTTGCCATTAGAGGTTTCACACCATTTAATCTAAAAATAATGTCAGTGACTAGGAGGCATTATAAATGTGAAATTTAAGGACGCATAAATCCCCTTTAAAATCAGCCTGGGCTTCAATAAGCAGAGCCACAGGCTGATCACATACACGCCACACCACACTGAAGCATTAATTCATGTAAAATTATGCAGTGCATAATTGAACATATCAAATGTTTGTTTTATAAATGTATATTTTATTTATCTCTGAGAACATATTCTGATTATTCTGAAATATCAAATTTGCTGTAAGCCATAACCATTCAAATAAAAACAAAATAAAAACTTTACAATCATTTGGATAAACAGTGTCATCTTGTGGTTATGACAAGATACTGCAACATACAAATGAATCAACCCAAATTTGACCATATAGCAAAATCACACACACACACACGCACGCACGCACGCACGCACACACACACACACACACACACACAC